TCTTGTGGAGGCATGGTGCCATGTGCCTTTAATCCCAGCACTCTGTTCATGTAGTGAGATGTCTCAAAATAAACAAATGGATAAATGAAAAATGTTTTAAAGAATAAATAATAGCATTTGGCAGATGCAGGTGGATTTCTGTGAGTTCAGCGCTAGTCTAATCTATATATAGAGTTCCAGGACAGCCAGAGCTACACACTTGAGAGACCCTGTCTCAAAGCAAATAAAAAGAATAAATAAACCCATAGCTTCTAAGGTGTCGTCTCATGAATGTTTGAAGTACCCAGCCCCCATAATGAAGTTGAGCTGATGCTGGCAACGGAAAAAGAGCAGTTGTGACAGAAAATTGTGACAGAAGACATTAATGGACTATTTACCCAGGTACAGAGATTATCAAATAATAAATGAGCTTTATGAAATGTAACATACCAAGCTATTAAATTAGTTGATACAATTAAACTAGAATTTTTTTTTAAATGCATGTCAGGGGCTGGGAGTGTAGCTCAGTGATCAAGTGCTTGTCTGGAAGGCTCAGGCCTCTGGGTTCCATCCTCTGGCCAAACAGAAAGCAATGCTGCTGAGGTTCTGTAACTGGTTACTTTCATAACCATGGTTGCCACAGTTACTATCCTGATAATGCTAAAAGTCTCCCTGGACTTTTGGGGGTAGCAAGGGGCAGTTTGCCACATTAGCCTTTCTTTCTCCTGCATTGGCCTTGACCTTGAGTAAACACTTTTCTGTGCCGCTGTTCACACTTGTGGGAAGCAGGCATCCTAAGAATGGGCATTGTTGGGGGGGGGGGATCTGTTCAGGTTCACAATGTCAAGGAAGCGGGACCAGCCATGGGGCAGGAGGGGCTTCCTCTGTCCAGAGAATTCTGAAAGGAAGATTGTGCTTGTTTTAACTCAATTTAATTTACATTCCTACCTCTCATCAGTGGAAATTCTACCCCATCTCGCTGAGGACCCACTTGAAGCCTGCAGCAGCTTCTGCCTGGCAGCAACTATTCTAGAACCCCACCTTCTCAGACAGGGGGCTGAGCCATTTCCTCCCTCTGAGCAGGGTGGTCCTTTCTGAGCTCCATTGTGGAAGGGGAAGGAAGACACAACCTTACTTCCGAGGCCTAATGCATCCACCTAGTCCTTAGATTGTTCTGACCAACACAAGGAAGCCAGACTGCCTGGGGGCCCTGGGGAGGGGAGGGGAGGGGAGGACTGTAACACACATAGTGACTGTCCCCTCTCTCCTTCCCTCCCCTTTTCCCTTATCTCCTCTCTTCCCTTTCCCATCTTTCTTGAGGCTGACCTTTAACTCCTGATGCTCCTGCTTCCACCTCCGGAGTACTGGGACTACAGGTAAGTGCACTGTGATAGTGTGTGAATAAGAATGGTCCCATAGGCTCATAGATTTGAATGCTTGGTCATCAGAGAGTAGCACTATCAGAGAGTGATTAGGAGGTCTGGCCCTTGTTGAAGGAAGTGTGTCACTGGGGGTGGGCTTTGAGGTTTCAAAAGCCCAAGCCAGTCCCAGTGTCTCTTCCTTTTGTCTATGGATACATATGTAGAGCTCTCAGCCACTTTTCCAGCATAATGTCTGCCTTCATGCTATAGGTCGTATTGATAATGGACTAAACCTCTGAAACTGTGAGCCAGCCCCAATTAAATGCTTTTCTTTCTAAGAGCAGCCATGGTTGTGGTGTCCCTTCACCACAATAGAACACTGACCAAGACAACACAGAAGTGCAGTTTCTGTCCTATGCTGTGTTTGTGGAAACCCTGTCAACAATATACATCACCGGATGTGGACCTTGTCCTGAAGTGAACATGCTTCAAATCAGACTTCTTTGTTAGTCATCTGACATCTGGTATTTTGTTATAGTAATGCAAAATGGATGATTACAATAACAACATTTTCTTCCTCTCCATCTGCCTGCAGGCTTTGCAGTGTGGTCCACATTCCCAGCTTTTGTGAGCTGTCGTCCCCTGTGCCTGGGGTGAGCAGCTGACTGTGAGTCATTTCTTCTCCTGTAAGTAATCCTTCACCCATATTCCTGTAAGGAACCCCAGTAAAACTCATTGGTTCACCAAGTGGAACTTTGGTGGCATCCACACTTGGGTCTGTCATGGGTTCCCTATCTGTGGTGAGTTGATGTGTATGCTGAGTTCCACCCACCCACCCCAGTAAAAGTTTCGTCACACAGCAGCCATCTGTGAGTCACCATCACAAACATCCTAGCTTGAAGATCAAGGCAGACCCTGAGCAGGGTGGGAGGGAAAGGTATTTTATGATCACTTGACAAAGGCTGGACAGGATCAAGATGTTGCACCCAGCCCAGGGCACAACAGCACACCTGCACCAGTAGCATTCACAGTGTCTGGGAACATGGTGAGATCTTGGCATCTTATGGAATAAACGGCTGTTGTCTGGGGAAAGCACAGTTCATCTCTCTCTCTCTCTCTCTCTCTCTCTCTCTCTCTCTCGTGTGTGTGTGTGGTGTGTGTACATGGCACATAAGCAAAGAGCTGGAGTTACATTCGATTGTAACCCTCCCAACTTAGGTACCGGGACCAAACTCTAGTCCTCTGGAAGAGCAGCAAGCTCTCTTAACCCATGAGCCATCTCTCTACCCTATTTCCTAAACTTGGAATGTAAATTGTTTAACTCATTATTGGATACAGCCAGGATGACCTTGAACTCCTGATGTTCCCACCTTTACCTCCCAAGTGCTGGTTCAACTTATACCACCAGACCTGCCTTAGTTCACACACTGGGCTGAACCAAGTGAATGCCATGTCTCCTCATCTCGAAGCCAGGAGCAGTGGCTCATGTCCTTAAGCACAACACTCAGGAAGCTGGAGGAGGAAGCTGGAGGAGGAAGATTTGAGGACAGCCTCAGAATTGGCATTAACATTTTTCTTATCAGGTTTTTCTTTCTCTTCTATTTTTTTCAGGCAGGGCCTCATTCATCCCCTGTTAGCTTCAAACTTACTGTGTGGCCAAGGCTGGCCTCTAACTCCTGATCCTCCTGATTCTGCCTCCTGAGTGCTAGGATAGGTGTGAGCCACCATGCCTAGCTGTTAGTCCCTTCTTAAAAGCTCATTCTAAATACTTTATTTTGCCCTGAGTTACACAGCTGCCAGGTCTACACGGGTTCTGTGAGTCTCAGCCCACCCTAAGGTGTTCATCTACTCACAATAGCGGTTCTCACACTCAAGGCTGACTCAGAATCACCTGGAAACCTTGTGAAAATAAACCATTGCAGTTTCTCACTCTGTTCTGGGATGCCTCAAACCCCAAACATACTCCTATCAAGTTCTCAGGCAGTGGTGGTACCTCTGGGGTGAGAACAGAGCTTTGAAAACCACTGGACATCCACTGCGCTCCACCCACTGGGTTCCTGCAAAGCAGGCTGGTTCATATCCTCACCACAGAGGCTTTCTGTGAGATGCCAGGGAGATAATGCCTGCTGCTGGAAGCTTTGTCAGCTCACAGGTTAAGGGCTATGGTCATTAACCTGGTAACTTGCCGGAGGCGGGTCCACAGCCTGGACATGCAGGGTAGGGTGTGCAGACATCTGGAGAGCTTTGGCAGCCCACCTTCTAAAGGGAGAAGCCAGCCATGGAGGGCTCAAGCCGCCCTCTCCTGTCACACCCTCTTCAGCCTGCTGTATCACAGCTGGCTGGCCTGGGCCACTTCTTCAAGGGCCAAAATCCAGGCAAGCTAGAGCAAGCATAAGTCTGTGATTCGAGACATGGGAATAGTTCACAAACGACTATGCTGTTAGACTCTAGCCCACAGCTTCTTTCTAAAGCTTGGGTTGTGCATCTGTAAAATGGGAGCAAGGAAAGTAGCCCGGGGGTAGTAGAACTCTTTCACAGCTCTTCACTAATCAATCTGTCTCTGAGCAAGGGGTCAACCACTGGTAGCTGTTAGTATTTTCAGAAAGTGCTTGTGTCCAAGCCGCCTCCACTTGGAGGCCTAGTCTTGGAACGCGAACGCTCCCACGCCATTCCCTGGTTGCACCAGGATACGCCTGCGGGTCCTAGAATGCCAGCGTGGGGGCCCCAGGCCTGCAGCCCTGAGCAGGGGTTGCCAGGGGGAACAAGATCAGGGCGGAGCAGAGAACCCTGGGGAGGGGCGGAGCCTGGGCGTGGCTTCCCAGTTGGAGGCCCAGGGGTAAACCCCTGGAGAAAGAGATGTGGGGAGGGAAAACGAAGGGTTTAGGAGGACCGCCAGCGGCCTAGGAGGGAACTAGGAAGGATGAGGGAGACCGCAGGGAGAAGGACCGTTAGGCAGGGCTGTTAGAGGCTGGAAGGGCACAGAAAACAAGGGCGGGCTACATCCTCTGGAGGTTCAAAGCAGGCAGAGCGAATCGTTCTCATGGTCTCACCTCCAGGCTGTAGTGAGCAGGGATGAACCCTGCTTGGAGCAAGGCTGCAGGGCCGGAGGCGGAGCTGGAGGGTTAGCAAAGGGCAGCCCAGGGGTGTGCTAAGGGGTGTGGTGGTTTGATTGGACCAGGAGGCCGTGATAGGCGGAGCCTGGTGCTACCTCCCGCAGGGCCCGGAGAGGAGTATTGTAGGGGGCGTGTCGAAGGCGTGGTCTCGGGGGCGTGGCGTGGCCTGACAGGGCCGTTGAGCTCCTGGACTGACTCCCGGAGGGGGTGGCGGGGGAGAGGGGAGGAGAGAGCCAAGCTGCGCAGTCAGACGCGGGCTGGGGCGCCAGCTGGAGAAACCGGACTTAAAGCGTGTAGCCAGGACCGAGAGAGCAGGTAAGAGGGGCCTGGGGGAGGAGGCGGGACAATCGGAAGCAAACTTAGCTTTGCCCGACTTCAGCAGCCTGCGGAACCCGCTTGGCAACAGGTAACAGACCAGAGTAGTTAGTGACTGAGAAAGATCATTCGCCTCCGAGTCCCGAACTCCCAAGTTCTGGTTGCGCCACACACCAGCCTTGTAGCCCTGGGCCGGTCCCTGCCCCCAGCCCTGAACTCTTCGGGTTCCAGAAGAAGGAAGTTGATTGAGGTGAGCTCCATGCTCCCGGAGTGCCTTTTCTCACCAAAACACAGGAAGGCAAGGGCTAGCAGGTGACAGGCACTGCGGGGAGGGAGGCCACCCGCATTCAGACTGTGTGTAGCTAGACCTCAGCTGCAAATTGCCACTGAGGAAAACTACTTGATATGTCACCCTGTGTTACTGAGTCCCAGAAAGGAACCCCAAAGCAGGGCAATTAACATTCTTTCCCTCCTTCCAACTTGTGAGCGCTCCACTGAGCTGGACTTGCAGTGGAAACCTAGCCAGGCTTTTCCAGGTGAGCTGGTGGAAGAGGCCCCTAGGCCCCTAGAGGGATAGCAGATGGAGCAACTAACTCTCTTTTGGGGTGAAAGGGGAGTAGAAGGGGAAACCTTACAAAAACCTGCTTAGAATCTAGCCAAGCTCTGAAGCTTCCTGCTGTTCCCAGGGTATCTTTGCTGAGTGACTCCACTCCCGATGGTGGTGGGGATCCTGGGTCCTGGATCCTGGGTCCTGGCTGTGTCAAGGATTTGGGATTTGGGACTCCACCAACTTGGATTCCACTCCCCCTTCAAATTTCAGTTTCCTCATCTGTGACTTGGGGGACAATGACCTAACAGTAGCAGCAAGAACTAAATGAAACTCTGTGTCCAATGCCTGACAAGGCACTGGGTGTTCAGAAGCCTAACTGAGAAGCTCCTGTGATGTCAGTGGGCAGGTGATATGTTGTTGCCTTCCTTCTGAGAAGTAAACCTATCTTAGGGGTTTGGCTTGGTTTGGAGGGTTGGTGGGTAGCTTGCAGCTGTCCCACCCTTGACCTCACCAGAGTCAAACAGCCACCAGCCACCATCATCTTGTTGTTTTGTGGGTCAGAAAGTATGTTACCTGGACTAAAGTGTCTGAGTTCATAACATTGCTTGGAGTTGATGGGTGTTGAAGACCCCCCCCCCCAAGAAAACCTGCATAATGAGTCCATACTGCATACAAGACAGCTGAGGAGGATGTAGACGTGTGTCCCCACATGGGCTTGGCATTGTCCTCATCCTGAGGCACTGTGAGACTCCCCCATCCCATTCCCCTCCTGAAGAGGCTCTCTCACAGCCTGAGTTAGGTCAGGGGAAGTCCCAGGGGTCTGTGAGGCTCTAGTGACTGGAGGCTCAGTTTGGGGCAGGATGAGCACACAGTCTGTGTGAGCAGGGCTGGGCACAGAAGGCATGGAAGGTGCTACATGTGAGATCCCTGCATTTTCAGGGGAGATGAGCTCATGCTGTGGGGTAAGATGGAAAGTGCCCTGGAAAGCCTGGCTGAAAGCTGGGGCCATGTGAAAGAGACGTGTGTGTGTGTGTGTGTGTGTGTGTGTGTGTGTGTGTGAGAGAGAGAGAGAGAGAGAGAGAGAGAGAGACAGAGACAGAGACAGAGACAGAGACAGATTGAGAGAGACTGAGAGAAGGAGGGAGGGAGAGAGAAGGGGCATCTGTGAGGAGACTCTGGAGATCCAGGGCTGGTAGCAGTGTTGGAGGTGAGACTTGGGCAGGACTTTCTGCCTGATCTCCCCAGTCCTGATTAAGCTTGGACCTCCCTGCTCATGGATGTCAGCATTTTAGTGGCATTAGATAGGCATTTGCTACAGTGAAAAAGGAGCCACCTTGGTAGAAGGAGGCATTCATTCCCAACAGCTCCCTTTCTATGACATGAATGTCAAGCAATAACATGACATTGCCCTCACCCTTGGGTTGCTCAGCATCTGGGAAGGGGCTTGGATCAGGGAATGTGACACAATATAGTCAAAGAAGAAGATGCTAGGAAACTTTGGGAACTTAAGGACTGGACAGTTGGGGCAGAAGGTGTCTTGGGCAGAGGAAGATGCTCAAAGGTAAGGTCAGCCTGTTGAGCATGCTCTTGGGAAATGGCTGGGTTACTGGTCTAGCTCAGTAGTTCTCAACCTTCTTATTGCTGGACCCTCTAACACAGCTTCTCAAGTTGTGGTGACCCCCTGGCATAAAAATATTTTCATTGCCAC